GTGAGAGGTTTGTTAAACTAAGTTTAATATTGGAGTTACATGTACTGTATGTGTATGAGTGTATTACTAGTGGAGTGTTATTAGTGTTTGTATTGTGTAGGATTATGATGCTAAGCGTTCTGAAACACACTAAAAATCCAGTCAAGTTTTGGTTCCTGAAAAACTATCTCTCACCACAATTCAAAGTAAGATAAACTAAGAATGATTATAAATGTTTGTACATCAATAAAATTAATGATTATTATTATTATTATTATTGATCGTTTCATTCTCAGGATTTCATTCCCAGGATGGCTGAGAGGTATGGGTTTGAGTATGAGCTGGTACAGTACAAGTGGCCACGCTGGCTTCATGGACAAACTGAAAAACAAAAATTAATCTGGGCGTGAGTAATTATTAATTTTAATAATAATTATTATTATTATTTCAGGTACAAGATATTATTTCTAGATGTACTTTTTCTATTAAATATTAAGAAAATAATTTTTGTCGATGCCAACCAGATATGTACAATTTAGTTATTAAATTAATAATTATTATAAATAATTATAAATAGTTATAAATGCTTAATTGTTATAATTAGTTTTAAATAGTTATAAAAGTTATTAATGGTTATCAATAGTTATTAATGGTTATTAATAGGTGGTTCGTACTGATATGAAGGAGTTGTTGGAGGAGCCATTGGATGGAGCACCTTATGGATACACTCCTTTCTGTGATAGTCGTACTGATATGGATGGATTCAAGTAATTAATGATATGTATGTAAATGGACAGATTTTGTCAAAAATGGAAGAGAGAATTTTCTTTTTTAATAATTTTTTGTTATACTATGTTCTTATGTTGTATAGAAAGTTTGAGCTGATTATAATCAGATTTATTTTTTTTAAGAATTTTTAAAATTGCTCAAAAATCAGGCCAAAGTCCCTGTACTACAGGGTCATAATCATTGGCCAAATTTTGCCAAAAACGAAAAAGGAGAAAAGTCTTTATTTTTATAATTTTTTCTGGTACATGTACGTGTACATGTACTTATGTTGTGTAGAAAGTTTAAGGCGATCCTAATCAAAATTGGCTTTCTTTTGAATTTCAAAATTTACTTATGCTTTATAGGGAAACCCTAGTAACAGGCTTACAAAATGCAAATTAAAGGTGAATTTTGGCAAATTTTGTGTCGAATTCAAAGCTTTTTGTATGGAAAAGTCATATTGCCCATGCAATTTTGACTGTTACCTTAACTGTATAAATCTAGCTTTGCATGCAAGTGTGGTTACTATATCTAACTTGCTGTGACAAATGGAATATGTCTCTTTTACCCTATTTTTCTTCTTTCATTTCTCTCTCTCTCTCTCTCTTTCCCTCATGTGAATAATGTACGTGTGTTCTTGCCATGAGGGGTGTGGTCAATTTGGAGGCTCATATATTTTAAAATTATTTTGTCCTTTTAATAGCATAAATTGTTTATAAATAAAGTAATGTATATGAAATAATTACATAAAGGCTAATCTGTTTTCAATAGTTTTATAATAAGGTAAAGAAGAACAAGTTTGTTTATGTTTCTTGTCTAGATATAATGTCCTTAGTGTATTATTGGTCCTGAGAGATTCCATCAGTACC